GAAATCCACTGGGTGACCGGTGTAGCCTACTTTGTTTGCATGTTTAAGTCACAAGCTCTGCAGTGAACAGTGGTGTAGCAGCCCTTCCCATTGCGCCTTCAAGAGGTGAAAAGTGCAGATGGTAGGTGTGTCTGCAGTCCCAAATCTGCCGAATTTCCGAACTCTAAAGTGCGAACTTGACGGCGATTATGTCCAAAAATATAAAGGAAAAAACTTTTAAAATGCAGTGGGGTAACAGAATCGGTGACTTAAACTTTATAAATCATATATGAATGAAAAATGAAATAAGGATGGTAGTGTAATGTAGGGTGGGACTCGCATGCCTGCCTCCTCTCTAAAAGAAACATCAAAGTAACATAAGCATTACAGTAATACAGTAATACATTGGTCTCTTGACTCCCGGTTTTGACAAAGGAGCCAATGTGAGTCCCCCCATTGTACCTCCGCCGAGTGGGCTGGTCTCTGGGCCATGTCAGTGACCATAATCCCCTCTGCATGCCTAATGCTTATATATTATACCCAAGTATCATGTCTTATTTCACCTTTAGAGAAGTGTCGAGGAGCCACAATAGTCGCATAGTGACTTTAAACAGAGTTTAAAGCACATATCTTATAGCAGTTAAAATCATTATTTGGAGAACCTGATGCGTAAATTTGTCTTAATCATTATCAAATTGCATGTTAGACGTCGATAAAAGTCTTCGAAATTTTTGTAGTTTCTAAATAAGGTTTGGTTCCACTCCTTGCATTACACTATTGCTTGATTCTACTTAGTGGCAATTTGTCATATGGATAGGTTGATTTATTTGCTCAATAAGCCAGCACATCAGCTAATTAGTTTGTGCCAACCAAAAGGCGGAACAAATATTATAATGCACCTTTATATAAAGGGTGAATAAACAGCTACTTGATAGCATTCCCCCTTAACCTGCGAGACCACAGTTTTACTTGTGCAGGACCGAGAATGAGGTGGATTCCTCTAGAGTCAAATCCCGATGTTATGAACAATGTAGTATCCTATTTCATTTTATCTATTAGTTTATTCGTGAGTTGGGTGTCAAAGAACCCATGCGTTTTGTGGATGTATTCGGTACAGACCCGGATATGCAGGCTCTTGTTCCAGGCCCCATCTTATCGCTATTGCTACTCTATCCCCTTACTGAAAATGCAAAAAAGAATTTGATTGGAATTATTTCAATGGACGAAAAATGCTTTTTTATGAAACAAACTATATCTAATGCTTGTGGAACGGTTGCAATTCTTCATGCACTTGCAAACAATGCGAGTGCGTTGGATTTGAATTGTAAGTTGTCTTCTTCCTCAAAGTTTTGAAGCCTAACGCCTGCGTGTCACATGCTCTCTTACTACCTTCATGTCTGGGTCAACTTCAACAGTATTTTGTGCAAATTGAATCCTTGTATAACTGGGTTGCACAAAGTGAATATACTAGCAAAATTTTGTAATTAACTCACTGGTTGTATAGAATGGAAGCGACTGTCTTGCTAAAGTATTTTACTTAGTAGGACTTAAATCTTATAGCCCTTCCATGGCTACGAAAATTCCTGGAGAAGGCACATAACAGCACTCCTAAGGAGCGCGCAGAAATCTTAGAGAATGAAGAGGAACTAAGCCAAGTTCATGAAAATTGTGCGCACCAAGGTCAAACAGAGGTGAGCACGTTTTCTTGTTGACCGTCTTAGGCTCCCGACCCGAGCTCTCAAATCGATTTGCACTTTATCGCGTTTGTGAATTCTAATGGTCATCTCATTGAACTTGGCAAGTCTTGTTTAATTATGTTAAATTCCCCATTGTGCCTCTTTCTGTTCTCACTTTTGTTATTCTTGAGTTTCCCTGGTTCGACCTCATTTAAGTAAGATATTCACTTCTTATGAATTGCAGATGGACGTCGCGAAGGCCCAGTGTTACATGGGAAAACTTCTCCTGATACATTCCTTGCCGACGCTTGCAAAGTTGTAGACCAATTCATGCAGCGGGATCCAGATAACGTCAATTTCAGCCTCATGGCTTTAACCAATGCTGATGCCTAATTGTTTAACCGTTTAGCTTGAGAACTTTACTATTGGACCAAAATGTCTTCCTCAAATGGTTAATCAAAATTTTTTTTTCTGTCTTGAAATAACTCAGTTCTGTTCGCTGACCCTTTTTAAGTTTGCTTATTGATATCCCTTTTTGTATGTAACTAAGATGATAAGGTCTTCTGGTTCTCCTATTGTGCTCTTTTATTTGATATATTAAACTTCATCATGCAGTGTAATCTTGTTAATAAGATCCGGATTTACACTGTCGGGATTTCAGATACTGTAAAAGCCGCCATCTGGTTGTCGAGAATATCCACCATTGGTTTCCTGTAGATGGACGCCGGCTGAAATAAATCGAAAAAATTGTTTTTAGTTTGGTTTTTAGCGGTTTGTTACAAGTGTAGAAGTGTCTCCCACTGTCTATCTAGTCAGCATTAGTGCAAGTTTTGTTAATATAAAACTATGGCCATGTGCCTACTTTAACAGTATGCAAATTCCAGAACTTACTTATTGAATTGTCATTTTTCAACGGGTGGTTTTTGTAGGGGCATTGCCAGTGAATGAATGGTTTGTACGGAGGTGGTTTTGGGATTCTGGCATCGAGAACGCGATTCAGAAGAATACGACTGGAATACAAAGTGTGGGCAATCGCATGCCACTTTCGAAGTGACCTCTAATGCTTTGGGAATATTCCTGTGACTCACCCGTGTCCTTTTATGCAGGTTTCCGGTTGTGTTGCAGCGTGAACGTTGTCCTTGTTCCAATCTCTGTGATGGTTGTAGGTGGATCTGAGTTTTCGTTCAAGAAGATCGGTAGGTGCCTCGCAATCGTGGAAAGAATTCTTTGGATAATTACTGTAACTACTTAGCTGACTTACCTTGTATCGGGTGGATTCCAGTGTGTGAGTGTAGGCCAAACGGTCGAAAGATGGCTCCTTAAAGACAGGTTTTCTGGGATTGAGCGGCGATCTGCAAAAGTTGCAGTATTGCTGCTGCATGATCCCTTTTCTGCGCTGATCTTTTCACCTTTTGCAGCCACGTGCTATCGATCTATGCGATCTCACCAACCCTGAAGTTGAGACGTCAAACACTCGATGGTCGCGAGGTGAATAGTTCTTTCTATGGTTTCACAAATTTACCCAACTTTTCTCAAGACATGGACGAGTTTATTTTGGGAATCATCAAGCTGTGAGTGAGGTGGTAAGCTTAATTTTCATGATTGATCTGCAAAAATCTATCAGTTTGCCTTAATACTTACCATCCGTTAAATATGTAGATTGTGCTTTACATCCACTTTTCGCTAATAAAATCTTCAAAGTGCATCATCCCATCTTGCCTACTATTGTGGAAATTAATGTTGTGATAAACTTATCGTTTAATTGAACGTCTCCGGCTATCACTTTTAATGATGTTTCAGGGCCATTGCAAATTATTACTCTCAATTGATGACACCAATGAGAAAATAATAAGCCGGTAAGAGATCAGAAATGTCTGGAAGCGAAGAATCAGGTGGAGAATTTTGGGGAAAAGTGGCTTAAATCGAAATACAGTGCTTGACTTTAAAAGTCTGCAAACATTTAACTGGCTTAGATATTTGCAAAGGTGGTTTCACACCCATTTTAGGAATTTGGTAACCGCCTTTGTTTAAGGCTCAATCGATCAGGTCAGAGGCTGCTGTTGCATTTTGCATCATCTCACATTCATGGGTCATAACACCATTGATGCCGTTTCATAGAGGAATTATCCAAATGCTAATCACACTTAACCCGTTTTCAATGTGTGGTCTTGGGATTGCTAACATGTCTCTTTAGTCCGGTAGCGATGATACCGAGCTGAAGACCAAGCTTTGGCAAACAGCCAACGGTATTTGATTCAGTTCACCAAACATAGCTTGGTTAGCACTGCTTTGACCTACCTGCGTTGCGGCATGAAGTCCGATTGTCATGGTGTCGATTTTATCAGACGGAAAGAAAATCCAAGTTCATCAATGGCGAAAGGTTTTCTTAAGGAGATAGTAGGCTGTAGCTAAAGAAAACGAATCGGCCCATACCAGAAACGATTGTTACTGTTTTGATGCCGTGCACCAATTTCTCATGTGCGTTCGTACTGGCCAAGGTTTGTGTCAACTAATCAGATAAGTTTATTAGCAAAAACGAGAATTCGCAATTGATAAGTTAATCTCGCCGTAGTTCTGAGAAATTCATTAATCTGATGGACTTTTTAGGACCTAAAGTAGCAAGCTAGTTAAAAAGAGGCGGTCACTAACATAACTGAAACGAATAAATATTTGAATTTGGGACACTTCGCATTCGTTCACTGTTTTCACTGCTAAATTAAGCCTACTTTCTATTACAGGTGCTGCAAATGGTACTAAGTACAAGTCTGTATGTAAGCCTTATTTATTTGTAGATAAATATTCTGTGATCAAAGTAATAGAAGGAAAAGTAGAAGTTGAGATTGTACCCCACTCAATCACACAAGTGGGGTCTTAGTAATAATGGAGTTGGAATTAAATAAAGCAAAGCAATTACTGATTAATTGAGTGCTGTAATCTTGCCATGCAACTTCCGCCGGTAACATTCAGCATCGGAAACTTAGTCCACAGCTCTTGGCACTGTTCAAATTGATGTGATGATATGTCTCTCAACGGAGAGCGTATTTTTACTTAAATATATTAAGTAGAGCTAGTTCTGTCAGTTAAGGGAGTCTATTGCAACGCTGCAAAATAGAATACTTGATTTGCCTTTTTTATGGAAATACAGTACAGAAAATCCTGTCGATAAGACGCCAATCTGATTTATACTAAATGATATTTAATGATTTATCAAAGACAGACTCTATCCGCAGGGGCATTCCAAATTTGTTACTAAAAATGACTTGGAAATTTAAGGGTTAGTTTCGAAAATAATAGCGTCCCTTACCGAGATGTAACAGATTATGCCTGTAGTAAACACAATAATTTGTGTGGTAAAATATGTAATACTTGCGGAAAAATAATTAACTTTTTTAAAACATTTCCAGCCTAGACTTCAACACTTGCCATTTGTTAGGCTATTTATGTCCTTCCCCTACTCAGCCCTTCATATTTGACATTCAGATTTCATAAAATTCCCTTTTTTAATTATGAGTGGTGATAAGCAACTTTGAACTGCATCTAGTGCCAAACCAAAATCCAAACAGAACTTCCCAAATAAATTAGTAGATAACATCAAGGGACGACAGATTTAAGAAGTTACTCTGGTAGATGTGTCAGTGCTTCTTGTAAAGAGGCAAAGGGTGTGACTAGCTCAACTACCAAAATCAACACTGTTGACTCCAAAGCGAAGCAGTTATTACAGCCAACCCGTAGCTGAATGCGTGGGACACCTTCCAGTTCTGAAAACGAAGACAGTCTCGTAAACATAAAATCATTATTTTGCAAAAGTCATGGCAACTTCAAATAAGCAGGGTTGTCATTCGACCAAAATTGCCTATTTAGTGCTTCGAATGTTACTCTAACCAGTGTGATCCTGTGCACTTTCAAGACAAAGTTGCTCTACGTCCAAGCTTTTGTGGTTCACATTCACACTTGGCTGCAAATTACGAGCGACAAAAACATGTTCAGTAAATTTTTCCCTTCATAAACAATCATTTTCACTTGTGTTACGTGCAAACACATACGAGAAATATAGGTCTAAATAAACTTTTATAACAAGCTATCTCCAAACAACATTTATGTGGCATAACGGTATTTATCATGTCCAATTTGATTAAATAAAAATGCTAGTTAAAGGCAATGCCTGTATGTTCACCAGAGGCTTTCGTAAGCGCGTTAGCGCCAGACTCCGATTTTTTGAAAAAAATGCCGCAAATTAACCACGGCTCAGACATCACTCCGCGAGGAATCATTCACATGCGCCTTTTCACCGAGTCACCTTCTTGAATAAACAAAACTCTGGTCGTTGCCGTCGGCGTTATCGTCATCCTTGGCGGAGCGACCCAACTTTCAAGCTGCTTTGTCACTCATAGATCTTGGGGCAGCGTGGGAAACCAGCGGTCCAGTAACCAGAATACTGGAACACTACTAAACTGGATTAATTCCATGACCACCTTTGAAGTAGCATGCCTTTGTAGGCATTCTTACGGGCATGAGTTTACCCCGTCTGTGTGCCATTATATGGTCGCCTTTACGGGACATCAACGTCTAGTTTCTTGCTCATCAAAGGTTCCGAAGGTGTGTAAATGTTACGATTTGTCACAATTGCCAAATACCTTGATTCTGATTAGCTGAGCTTATTAAGCAGCCATGTTCAGAGTATACCTAGGGTTTGCAAAAAGCTAATCTTTGTTCCAATGGAACCGAATGTGTGAAAAATATAAGCGTAATTGCATTGGCATTTCGTCTGTTGACAAAAATTCTTCCGAAGATTTAGAACTTATGCAAGGTTCAAAAAATTCCGTCTCTCTGTATTTAAAGCCAACACAACTAAAGAAATTGTATCCTAAAGCAGTCAGCTCCAGCCTACGGGACCCGCACTTTAGCTATCGAGGTCATCGAGAGCCTCCAATCATGCCACGCAGTTATGCAGACCCGATCCAGTAACCGCATCCACTGAAATGTGTGGGGTGTTGAAGAACAAAGGAAACAGTACACAATTGCGGCTTGATGCACAGATGGTTGGTTTCAACAACAGTATGCGTTTTTAGATCTAAATCCATAGGATATTATTGACTGCTGAGCGATTGTTAATCGAAATAGTAGAATTAGGCTTCTGATATTGTTAAGGCTTTACGAGTGGCTTGCAATATCATACATTCATTTTGAAAGATCGCGAAAGTTTATAAGACCAAGACCATTTATTACAATGTTTAGTAGAGCCCTTAAATGGTTACCAGTTTTCTGCTCCGAGCCAAAGAAGTGCCACTTCTTTTGTTTATTTTTCACTCAAATATAATTTAAGGGTCTCTAGAGCATAGGTCTTTACCATTAAGTGAAATCTGTCTGTCAGACTCTGAGGGAATTGGCTTAATCACATCGGGAATCAATCTGACCCATTAAAATAACTGCCTAGTCCGTGACAAAGCTAATCTTCACTCTTGAATATTCTCTACTCATGGTGCATATAGGGAGGCTGGGAGACTGTAAATTCCTTTTCTGCAAAAATGCGATTTTTTGCTTTATGACTGCATAGGGTGAGCTGCAAAATGCAACACGTGATATTATCATTTTGCGTCTGCTGACCCAGACGGTCTGCCATGTCTTTGACCCGGTGAGACACAAGTGCAGTTTCTCGCGGAGCCTACATCCACACAATAGGCCTCAGTGGCTCGCGTCGGTGTGTGAATTTGCGGAGTGTCTCACACATACACGTATTTTCCTGTATGATTTGTAGAGACTTGTACAAGCTTGTAATGTGAGAAGTCGGAGGACCCGCCACCCTCTATTCACAGCATAAAATTTGCACCTTATCTGCAGCTCTCATTTCACATCGCTACCGCTTGTTAAGTAAAGATGACATGAGAATATTCCGTGATGAGTGGGCCTTTCTGGGCTTTTGGCGCTCATTTCTTTGAATTTTTTTTTTGAAATAATAGTAACTCTAAATTACCTTCACGTATTATTTTATTCTTACCGTAGGAGGTTATCCTTCAAGGGCCGTGATTTGAGCAGATTGACTTGCAAGACGCGAAGTTAGTGAATTGTTACTAAATAATCAGGATTTTTTGTCATGAACTAACAATAAAATAAGTTTTCCCGTCATAAAAACGACCCAAACTACTTCTCACTTTTCAAACCGTCAAGTGAGTCATTGAAAATTTTAAGACACCAAAAGAACATGCTTGTGTAAGATAGTCAACGGTTGGGCAGTAAATTAAAGGGATTTGGCGATAAAGAAAAACCACAATCAGATGAATTCATCAACTGGTAGGCTCCAGCAATACCTTGTTTCTCAGTAATGTGTACATAGGCGAACCACTTAACGATGCCGAGTAGCCGGTGGGGTGTAGTTTTGGCTTAGTTTGAGTCTAAATAAATACCGAATAACTGTAAACATACCTTCATGCTTAATTTCGTTCTAGCTGTAACACTTGAGCACCCGATTCAAACGTCGGTTAACTTGTAAAAAAAATTAATATAATTCTCTCTACTAAATTCCGAAATGCAACTCAAAATTTCAGTTGAAGCCTCTCTCCGTCCTACCAAACATGTCAGATGCCACCAGCTGGTGGCGTGTAATTAAATTCCAAAAAATGATTTTTGTTCCTTTTAATCTTATGGGTTTGTGACTTTCTGAGCTCTTTAAAATCCATTTTAAGTCTTCCTTTAGAAGTGAAACTGCTCATTGCATTTGAGTGCGTCATATTTTACAGATGCTCGGATAGTTTTAAAATATTAGAATGAATAACCACTACGGTGTAATATGCACCATGGTGTCTGACTAGGGTGAAATGGTTGGACCTGAGACTTAAATATCTTAAAGTAGAGACCACGCTCTGTCTCTCGTTGGGAAGTAGAAATTATCGCTTCAGTAGTTTTATTCCCACATGCGTTGGGACCATTGCGCACTTGTTTCAACCGCTGGGATTTCCCATAATCGAATCGCTTGGGAAAGCGAGGTGTTGCGAAATCACCCTTTTTCCCACCAGCTCCGTGCGATTGACGCGACCCTATCGCGTGGAGGAGTGGGCAGTAGGGAAGTAAGGTGGGGCGGATGGCTACATGGGGGCACGATACCACCTGGCTTGAGAATTCCCACGCGCAAACCGTCCCTATGCTTCCCTTCTCCTCCTCTCCCCAACTCCCGCCCCCTCCCTTCCTGCCCCACTCCAGCCGCAGCCAGCGAACAAATTTCCTGTCTTCCTTCACAGTCACTCGCAGCTGGATAGTTTCTCATAGGAGCTTGTGAGTTTCCAGCCTAAATGTGATGTTCTATGCAGGTAAAATAAAAACCTAAAAATATGTGTGTATATTTGTAGTTTTTAATCCCATGTATGCACGACGTACAACCTCTTTTTTATTGACTACATTTGCATGTTAGCATCAGTACGATCCATGCCACTAGTTCCTCATTTATGATATAGCAATAAAGCGAATTACATTTCTAAGTTGTCCCTCAAAAATAAATAAGGATATGCTCCACCTACTTCATTTACTATTATTTCGCAATTTTTGGGAAAGATAATTTGCTAAATTTTTAGCGAATGCTTTTGCCGAACCTTAAGCATACTAATGGTTTAATTTTCGCCGCGTTTTGTCCCACTTGATTAGTAAATGTGCACTAACCTACAATTTCTGCAGGTGTTTGCCTGTACCTGACTTGGAAAGCACCTTCTTGACAAAGCTGGTGAAGTAATAAGAGCGGTTCATCGGAGTGGCGTTTCGTGTCAAAAAGACTGGTCGTTTACGCATAAATTATCAGGTCACTCTCGAGGCAACAGCAATGGGGCGCATCATTCATTTGAATGCGAGCGGCACACCTAAACATGCGCCCTTCCGCGACGCCTCGATTGGGGTCACCTGCCCCATTACTTTGTATCAGATTAAATATCTGGCGGAAACATCTAAAGGGAACTGCACAAATGCATATTTATCAACACTTTATTTGTGTCTGCCTAGTGGCGGGTAGAGGCATTCCCAATTTCTTCTCTTTTCCCCCTTAATTATAATGTTTTGCTAGTTTAATTTGAGCATTTTTGAGTTGAAAGCTGATGATCAATGTCAAAACAAATCCATGGGTAGAAGTGCTTCAGACAGTCGACATATCCATTCAAAGAGGAATATGAAACCTTTCTATAGTAAGATCTCGAAGTACAGTGGGAGTGAAGAGTCACATTTTTTCAAACACATCCCTTATCTCCTTCCGAAATACATGGCCGAGGATTTTGCTAAGCTTATAAACATTTAATAAATATTTTCGTCGAGATTTTGTAAATCAAGATATTTCCTTTCTTGCTCCTTTTTAAAGTAGGTTTAGCAGCATCATCCGGTAGCAGTTTTTTCTCTCAACCGTAAGCTTGTTGATCACTTGAGTAAGCATTGACGATTATTCAAATAACGCCTCTTATGTTCCCACACAAGCATAGTTCACTAGTCTGAAACTTCGCACATCATTTCTCGATTTTAAAATACCTTGATGTTTATCACCTTCGGAGGAATGAATTTCAGCTGAGTTATTCGTCGTTATTTAATGGGTGCTTACTTAATGCAATATTGATGATAACTTCAAAACCGTAAAAAGAGGAACTACTCGAGTCGGTTCAAAAAATCAGACCATCAGTGCGACCCACTAATTTACGACTTCTAAGCTGAATATGCCAGAAAATGCTTAAAACAATGTTTTGTAAACTGTATTGCTTGAAAGTGTTAAATGGGGGAGCATTACATTATTTTCAGGAAAATTTTTTTTCTTAACCTCACGCGTTCCATAGGCGGCATTAAATGCATCTCTTCAAGGTTCTCAAATGCCGTTTCCTGTCTACAGACACAAGAGTGAATGCAAGAATCTTAAAAGTGACCACTTTTCTTTCGCACTCTGCAATGACTGGGTGGAAAGGTTAATCACATTGAGATCAGAAAGTACGATAAAAACACAAGTGGACTTCCTCTTAGGGACTGAGAATTTCGACAGTGAAGATATGTAATCCTGAGCCTGAAATCATTTCAGTCCGTAATAATAAAATAGTATTGAACGAAATTTGGGTGATTTCCAATCCAATATGCATTTATTTCTTTATTTGCTCTATTACGCCCAATACACAGTGATTTGGACCATATTACTGATCCAGCTACTAGAGTATAAGTAGAATGAGAAAAACTAGCAATGGACTTTCGTGGAGTGTCTTTCAGTCTTAGCTTTGGTGCGTTGCAGCTGCGTCGTCAGCTCCCATCGAGTACTGATGCGTCAGGAGAAGGCGCCACCTTTGGAAAGCGTTAGACAATTTAGTACTCTTGCGAGCTCTGCCATGCTCATTTCGTTGCCCATGTAAAGTGGTTAGCCCTTTATAAGTAAAAACTTAATGTGCGAAAATAAAAGTTCATAATTAACTTTTTCGGTCTTACCATAGATACTGCGAGAGGAGGATTCATTGAATTTTGCAGTAAAACCTTCCATCCGAGCACTTAAGAGGCCCCTTATGGAGAAACTAATAAGCAAATAATTTAGTTTATAAGAAAATAAAACCAATTTTAGCTAAAAGTAGTACTTTGAAGACATTTTTAATTTCCCATTATGTCAAACAATACAGAACATATGATTTTTTAAAGTCATTAAGGCATTGTGATGAGCGACCTAAGTAATTATATTGCAACAATTTGTGTGCATTTAGTCCTTTACACCTTGGTCACGCAAAAAGTTTACCTACAAAAATTGTGGGAACGCCTCCCGTGTGGATTTTAGTTGAGGCAGCAGAAACAGCAACAGTTTTAGGAGCTATTATCACTGGATCGTGCGAATGTATGGTTAGATGGAACACCTGGTCTGAGAAGTCCCACGCGCCGTCTGTGCTTTCTCACGAGCAGGTTCGTCTCTCCCACAATTTCAACACCCTTCCTCATCACCACCCCACTTTCTTTCGCCCCTCAAAAACTCGCGTTGAAGGATGGAGACGCTGGACACAGAGTCCATCGCTTTTCTCTCTCTAAATCTCATCGATTGCCCCGAGCACCATCCCTCAATTTTGAGATCAATCTTGGCAAATTCATCCGATTATTATCATTGCATTCAAATCTTCTTCTTAGCTTGGTTGCCGCTTACAATCAGCTGTACAAAAGGAGACTGTCTCATTATTTAGTCATTTCAACTTCAATTTGAGGGTTCGTTTTGAATTGACACGTCAGTCATGTGAAAGCATGAATCAGACAGCCAGTTGAAAAATTTATTGTTAGTTCAGTCGCATTACAAGCTCGAGTAAGGCTAGCTAAAACAATATTTGGCACGAGAAGCATCGTTTCCTCTTTTGATTTAAATTAGAGATGAATTCAGTAATTTGGTAAACGCGTTCAATCTTGAGCAGATCCATCGAAAGCAGCTCCCGTTTCTCAGCGAACCCAACAAGCATTAAGTGACCTGCATGTCCAGTCATTCATAAAAGTCGGGCGATCGTGAGTGTGTTGGATTCACACCACCAATCAACACACGTGTGTGCATAAGTGTGCGAAAGGATAGACAAGTAAGGAGAGGAGCCACCGTCACCAAGCTCTAGAAAAAGCACTATTTAAACATTATGGGTGCTACTCTCCATCTACTTCAGCTTTTCAGCCTACGTGGATTTTAGGGCTTATTTTATAATTTAATGGGACTCACGAGCTACACTGTACATTCAATAATGTACAGGAAGTTGAAGGTCTCTTTTGTAGGTAATGTTATGTAATGTGACTAGTAACTCTTAGGGAGGAATTGCTAGTTTTGTATTGGCGAATGAAATTCTTCCTGCTTGGGAAATTTCCCACCTTATGCAAAAATTATTAAATTTTGTCGTTTAAAAAGGGTGTCCTGAAAACAAGCGAAATAGTTGCGCTGACTCTTTCACATTTACTGATGGTTTGCAAATTATTGCAAGAATTTATTCAAATAACTATCACTCACACTCTAGTAAAACTTCACTTCTTGCATAAGGAATTACGGACCAACTCCCAACTGGTGTGATGATAACCTTCGAGAGGTATAAACTGGAGAAGTGTTTATAGAAATGCTTCTGGGGAAATTTCCCCATTTGCCTGACACAACTGTGATTTTAGACTATAAGTAAAAGTTGATACTTCGTGGGATTTTTAGTTCTGTAAATGCTAAATTTGTCGCAAGTCATAAAGCACATAATAAGCTAAGAAATTCTAGTGAGCGGTAAATCGGTCTTCGAGGTCGTTTGATGTATTTTCTACGCGCAATGCTCATCCGTAAAGTGGCAGATTCAAAGGTGGTCATTTTTGTAATGAATTAGATGTCTACATCGCCAGAGTGATACCGGGACATCTTAATGTAAAATACATTTGAGAGCATGAAAAAACAGTCGGACCTTTGATGTACACGTACCCCATAACATTCTGTACCTGCTTAGCAGACCATTCCTACCACTACTATTTAGCGAAAGAAAGGCACACAGATTGTAAAGCGTGACATCTTTTAGTCTGACGCAGGTGGCGTCAAAGCGTTGATTCTATTTACCTCATCGGAAGTACCTTGATGCCTGTCAGACGCATTCTTATCTAAAAGCAGAGCCCCAATGTAACACTTAGACAATTGTCTACTTCCACAGATAAACTAGTAATCAACCAAAAGAATTTGTATCCAGTCCAGCATGATACAATTTTACCTATTCTTCTAGGACGGGATGTTCATACCAATATTCAAAACTTAATTTTGCATATTTTCGACTAATGGCATGGTAATTCCAAGAACTAGAATGCAAACCAATTAGAGATGCAAAGTGTGACACCAGGTTTAGTCTATTTATTTATTTGACCATTTAGATACGTTGGTATTGGGGAAGTGTGCACTCATGGAACTGGTTTACAGAGTTCCTACACGAATCCAAGGATGTGGTCACATCCCCTCCATAACACAGCAGTTCAACAGTTAAAAGTCATTCAAGTCACAGTCGCCACAGAGGTAGTTTAGAATTCTTAGGGCAAATCATGTATGGCTTGTAAGGAGTGCAGTGCCAAGGCCTTCGTGACGTAGCCTCTCAGCAGATGCGTTGATTTCTTGGCATCCTCATTCAAACTGGTATGTCTATAACGTTTGGCAGAGAGGATCGCCGGCTAAACATGAAGGACCCTTCAAACAAAATGAAAGCGTATCTGTGGAGAGAGGGTAAGGTGTGTCATGCGGCATTCATCGCATGCAAAGCGCAGCGCGTCTTCTACTCTGCACCTGTAAATCGGTTACCAAATGAAAAGAGCTTGCTACTTCTCACTAAGTGTTCTTTTACAGAATTGCACATGCTTAAATTTAGAAAAAAACCAAAACTTGTTCCTAGTTTGCTTATACAGTGTTCAATTTGTTTAGGAAATTGCGAACCACACTTTGATGCACAACCCATAATGATTGCAATTTAGCAGCAACTGGAGTGTTGTCCCCATTGTAACATATTAGGCGTCAGTGGTCGCCATTCCGTAAGACACATTTTTACTTTTGTGCTTGGATTTCTGTCTCACTGCTCAATATATTGGCATTTAGGCCCGCACGCTCCAAGATAATCCCGATGACCGTTATTTCTGTCTTCGACCATGAGAAACCGAATAAGAATGTCTTCCTTTAGCATGAGAAGAATCCATAGCCAGTGAAGCTTGGGAACTTTCTCATGAACCCATGTTTGCAAAAAATGTTTGAGCTTGGAACAAACCCATTCTTTAACAATATTTTGATGGTTCCAATGCTTACACCCTTTCACGTGATCACTGATTAGACCTCATGGTTCAACCGCTATAAGTCGTTCAATCAGGGAATTACGAGACCAAGTAATTGTAGCCCGATGTCTGCCAAATTTTTTAGTTTATTTGGAAAATGTTCACTTCTCGATTTTGAGGCTTACATATAGGTTAAATTTTTAACTTTAAGAGTAAACACCAACATTTTAAGTCGCTGCAAATAAGCCCAAACACAGAAATTGCCTTTGTTTTCTGTTTTATTGTAGTTGGACGTAAAGTCATAACAAAGGGTTCTACAAAATTGCTTGTTTAGCGTAAAGCTCAAATTGAAAGGAAAGATTTCCCTCTCACTCAGCAAATGGGTCTTTGAGGTCTCCATCTTATTTATTTGGGGATTGTTCCAAAATAATTTTGTCAAACCATTTTGCCGGCAGAGGTAGACCATTGAAATTAGCAACGGTAGTTTTCAATCATCAGCTTCTTTTTACATCAGACCCCCTTGTGTTGTTCTCGAAAAATTTTATCAGGTATGGATCGTGGTAATCACAGGGATTTCCTTTACCAGTCTAAGACTAATGGAGAGAATCACACTAACAATGGGAATGGATTGCCATCGCACTCGTTTCCCATTCCCACTCTCAAACTGCCATGTCAGCAATTTAAACCTTGGTGTTAGACAAGAGGTTGGAAAAGGCCATTAACAAAAAAAATTGTGGAGTATGATCGCAAAATAATAAAATTTCTGGACTTGCCTTCAAAATACAAACAGAAGGATTTAATAAAGAGAAGTTTATCCTGGCTTCCACGATATTTGTGTGTGCAGATACAGTAGGTGACTGTACAAATGAAGTGTGAAATTCCTGTGCGTATCAGAAAAGAACACTTCCAAAGTGTTCTGTACTGTCGACCACATTAGCCTGAAAAGGAATGCAGTAACCGGCAAACAAGACTACCCTGTCGAAACAGTCTATAAGAATGGTGTGTCATCTACGTTAGCAATTCTTTCGCATAATTATCAATTCGGGACTTCTTGAAAGATAACAAAAATGTATTTCGTAGATGACGTAGATATCCTACTTCGGATCAGTGGCTTCGCCGTTTGTCATCATGAAGTCCATCTTCAGTTTCCTTAAGTGATTTGCAAAACAACTTCTTGTGTGTGTAGAAAACAGTTTATTGTGCTTGTTATTTACAATTCATGCGTCATTATTGCTAGCAAAACCAAACAGACATATGTGATGAGCTAACAGATGATGATTAGCCGTGATATAGCTCCTCATCCATCATCCGCAATTAATCCTCGTCTACGAGGGCTTCCACCCCACTTTTTGTCTAAGTCTGTCTCTGGCTTAGTAACAAGAGTATGCACTGTCTCCCTCCCAATCGAGTCAAGACAAGACCCACTGCATTCTCAACATTCACAGATAAGATTGTGCCTTTCTGAGCTAGAATTTTGATGAGTTGCTCAAAGGAATTATGTCTCAGGAAGGGAATGCTCAGAAACGCCTGAAGTAGACAAGGTATGACACCGATGGAGTTCCTGAACTCATGATAAAATCGTCCTGAAAAAAAATAAAATTAATATTTATATATAGTATGTATTCATAAGTAGATTTTATTAATTAATGCACAGGTAATAATTCCTATTGTCTCGGACGTAATCAGTGGCGCATAAGTGATATTTGTGAATCTGTTCACTAATAAGTACATTCATCAAACTATGAATTCACCTGCGCCACAAATACGTCTACTTCATGATCACCGCAATAATAATCTACGGATATTTATATGATTTGCAAACAAAACACTTTTGTCCACTTATCCATCTGCTGCCACCACCCAGCGGATTTTTTTGTGAACCGGAGTGAGACACGACAGCGGTTGTCGTTCAAGCTGGCAAGTCGCTGTCTGTGTTCGACATCGCCAAAATATTTGCACTTGAGTGTCTAGGTTCGTTCTACTTGTCGAACTGAACAGATGACTGCTTGTGTCACATCGGTATTTGTCAAAAGCCATGTTCAACACAATGCCGTCGTCAGTTATTATAAATTTACTTCTTCCCTTTAAAATTCACAGTGAACCTATTCCTTTGCGAGTGTTTGCAAATGTATGATTAGTGGCCATCTATATTCGTTCTTCCGCGGACCATTAGGACATTTAAAAGATGCTAAAATTCCCTCTCCAGCATAGATAATATATTTATGTCTTAACAGATATATCACTCCCTTGGTTTTTCTTTGTATCTACTTTTTCCCATTGACTTGGGCAGTTTATTGTAGAAACCCTGTTAGAAAATACATGATGCGATTGAAGTGACAAAATATGGGAAAATATGCTTTTTGGGGTCAAACGAAGATGGAGAGGATCATCTATGCATTAAAGGTGGTGGTAAGACTATGGGAATTTTTTTTGGGGTGGTTTTCACAAAATTTAGTCATTCTAACAACGCGCTCGTGAATACGAAAGTCAGTATAATAACGATTAGCAATTAATTTAATTTAAAG